CTTTCAAAAATAATGCCAAAACACTTCTAGCCCTTTCAAGGACTTTCATACCTTTAATCAACCGCTGCATTAGAAGCATGCCCTCGGAGCACGTAGATCACTATCGCGTCACCACAACCACACTTTTGTGTGCGGCAGTTGCAGCAAATGGTAGTTCCGTTTTCAATCCGTGTGCACTGGCTGCGCACGTGCCTTCAAAACTAAGTCGTTTTATGCTATGATTGCATCTGCCGCGGTCTTGTCCACAAAGTCGTCGCCATACATGATTGTGTCAAGAATGACTGCGGTTCCATCCACAGTGGCTGTGGCAATGACAACCACATGCACTGTAGAAAACAGTGCGTGCACTGGTAGCACATGTACTTCCGAAGCTTTGAGCATGTTGCTCTCGGCCTTCATTCAGGCGGTTTCGGTACTAAAGTCCATATCACCCACTGTGATTAGGATGAGTGTTTGGGACATTTGAATTTTGGCCCAATGAACGCAGTGGAATTTGGCTGGAAAATTTCACTCACAAATTTTGTATCTGCCGTGGTTTCGCATCACTTAGATTCTATTATACGTTTAGATGAATGCCTCCTAAGTTCGTTTCTAATTAAATGCGATGGGTTTGCAAAAAGCCTGGAGCAGATTGACCTGCGTTTTTGTCAATGCGACCAGATCACACACAGAAATTTCGATTTCCACGTGATTTTCATGACAACCATACAAACAAAAGAAACGGTTGAAATACGGGAGTCTCCCGAACAATCCGGGAGACATAGCAGATATGCATTTTTCTAGAGACCCTATCAAAAAACACAGGAACCAGGAAATACTAGTGCCAAGAAACTAGGAGAATTTTGAGATAAAGTCATAGTAAAATGCACGCAATTTAATTTCCATGCTTTGCATGAATAAGTGAGAAATTGTGTAACATTAAACGGTGCATTTTTTCCCAGCCGATCAGCACAAGGAACAACGACAGTGTTAGAGGCGAGAGTTGAGCTAGTTGGTATGATTAATTTAAGACAAACTTTTTTGCACTGCAGACACACATTCAGAGTGTGATTTTGAACAAAACTATAAATTCCCCTGCCAAAACATTGTGCTGCTGCCAATGTCAAACGTTTGCATTGGCTTTAACCACCCATAGCTGCAAGGCTCCTGCAATGACCAATAAAAACAAAATGAGACTCCACATTTTGCTGTATTTTTCGGCAAAAAAATAAATTTTTGAATTATATTCCAGCTTTTCATCATAATGTTGACAGAAACAGTGGACAAAGTACTTCCTTTTAAAACTTAATGAGGTGCTATTGCATGTTTACAGGGCAGCATGAATAGTAATGCCCGCACAAAACCCAAGATGCCACAGCCTGTCAGCTGATTGCAGAGACCAGCATACTCACTGTTTCCTTGAACCCTGCAGTCAGCCACCGGTTCTGGATAACAGCCACAACTGACTGCGGCGGGCTGCTGAGTTCATCAAAGGCATCCAGAAGGACATAGTCAATCACTACATCATACACCGTCGGGCACACCACCTGCGTAATACGGCTGCTTTGAGGACAAAATCGGTCACCTATTGAGAGGGAAAGTACGCAACATAACACAGTTCATTTCATTGTCACATTGCATCTTTTGTTATACCTTAAGCAGCTGAGCACAAGACACACCTTCTGAATCCAAAATTTCTAGAACGGTGTATTGGTGTTGTCCAATGAGACAACACAACTGACACTACAGTTGAATTCTAGTAAGAAGAACAACGCTCCAACAAAAAAATTTTCAACTTCCTATCAGCTGCCCATAAAAACAATGCAAAAAATGGCTAGCCACAGAGAATAACTTTCCTGGGTAATACCACTTGAACTTTTCATGAGTGCTATGACACAAAGAGTTTGCCAGGGATGGCAACTTCCTCGTTGCCATTCATCTGAATTGCCAGGGATCTCAATTCAGATGGCAACTTGACTAGTTGGCTTGTGACTTCCAGAGTGGTGTGGGTGCAACGCTAGACTCGCGTCTTCCCCTCATACATGGTTTCCGCTATCTGTGCACATCGTGATCTTTCCCCTTTGAGATGCCCTGTATGTGATTGTTTATCCACCCCAATGCAGCTGGCGGGTTTGGTTCAAGTGCGAGCCACGGTAGAGTTTACGAACTCTCCCCATGCTTCTGACGTAGCACTCAAAACGAAACTGCTGCTTGTCGTCACTAGTCATGTGATCGTGGATGACAACCATGGTGTTCTGAAGCTACATGTACAGCCAGTGTGCTTCGGTGCAAGCGAAACTACATTCTGCAGCAACCGTGAACAATATCATGCTTATGCCAACAACAACATAATCATTACTGTGCATCCCCCTAAATTGGGTATGGCAACACTCGGCTGTCTGAGGCCTGCCAACTCGTCTACCCTTGTTTCCTGCCACATCAACCCGTAATGATGGACCAATCTCGAATGCATAAAAGGTTCTTCCATATACTCACTGTATTTCACAGTACACTCGAACCTCGATATAATGAAACCGGATATAGCAAAATATGGATTATAATGAAGTTAATTAAGAATAGCCTTGCAATAGATATAATGTTAGTAATAAACATTTATAACAAACTTTCGAATATAACAAACTTATTTTTGTGCAAGATGCAACTTCATTATAATGAGGTTTGAGTGTACTCTCATGCAGCCAAGCAGCTGCTTCCACTGCAAGATAGGATTAGTGTGTGTGCAACAACACATGAGTGACTCATCTTCTTCATCAGATCATCAACCTCGTCTGTATGCGTCATCATCAGTGGGACGGCTTCATCTTACTCGTCACAGCCTGAGCTCCGCTGGAATGAAGTAGTTCCTGACAACTTCCAGTATTGTTGAAGGTTGGCTTGGCTGTAATGGTTTATCTAGAAAAGTGCCCATTACTTTTTATGGTTCATTAGGGTCATGATTAGACGCAGAAACTAAATACTCACATAGCCAAAAATACTCACATACTCACATAGCCAAAACTGAATACTCACATAGCCAAAAATACGAGTGTTTGGAAAGAGCCACTGCTGTAGCACAACTGGTAGTGTAATGCGCAGGTACAGTCGAACCGCTTTAAAAGCGACATACATCGGGTAGCAGAAGTTGTCCCTTTTATAGTCAGTGTTTCCAATGAGCACAGTACCACGTCCACATTTCTTAGTGAACCTGTTCTGCTTTAACCACAATGGTATTTCTTTTATCCAACAGTCTGCTACATCAGCACTTCTTACAAAGGGGTTCAACTTTAATAGAATCTCCTACCACTTGTATTTGCTTATTCCTCCGGACACCGCAATTAAATGCTCCTTCGACTGTGCCACCTTTCGCACCACGAAATTGATACGGCTTTGTCTTATTAAATTCAGGCCTTTCCCTTTTTCGTAATGATTACAAGAGGCTCAACAATAATTCAGCATGCATCACAAGCAGCTGAATGGTTAGCTGCCATTGTGCCTCTTCAGTTTATGCAAAAAGTGAAGCTCATATTCCAAGTACTTAAAAAAAAAACAATTAGTGCTTACCAATTGCACAAATTTCACAGCCAGATAGTGTATTTTTGACCGTGTCTTAATACAGTCAAAGCCCTTTGCAAGAGACACTGATATAAGAGACAGATGGGTATAAGGGACACCAGTGGGCCTACAGTAAAGTACGAGGAATAGGAAAGTGCGTACGAGGTACATTGTTTATAAGAGATATCTCATATAAAAGACAAGAATTGCTGCCCGGAGCATGCCTCATGTAAAGGCGTTTAACTGTACTACAAAAGCTTGCCCAGGATGTCTAGACATTTAGTTCCCGAAACGCTGCAACATGTGCTCGTGTTAGAACCACTGCAATGAGTACTACAGCGGCGAGTAATTGAACCTTTACTGCCTCAATTGAGCTACCATCAGCCTCAACTAGCTGCAGATAGTGTGAATGGAGGTGGCTAACGATGTAGCCTTCGGTCGACGGCATCCTGCCAGCTCCAACTGACCCCTTTGTACTGCAGCTCCTTGGTAATTTGGTCGTAGTGGCTGCTGTCCAGCAGGTAGGCAATCAGCTCACGGTAGGTGTGCAGGGCATCTTTCGGGTCCTGCACAACATGAGCATGGCAAATCCTTCGTAAATAGGTTTTTTTAAAGTCGCGTTTTTCAATAAGAGAAGCCTAATCTTTCTTCATGCGGCAACGTGCTGCCCTTAGCAGAGATGAGACTTTTGCTTGATGCACATTCATACTTTTGCTGTCCGCAGACTTATAAATCGACAAACAGCCCTGTGTTTTGCCACTGACAAGTTCCAAAGTCTGTATTAATGAGCCTACGGAGGGAAGCTTAACAAAGTGGCTTGACTGAAGAACTCTGAAGCGGGCATTATATAATGCAAGCACAAGCTGCACAGGGCTTGTGCAGCGTGTTTTACTTTCACAAGGGAAGGCTCTCAACATAGTAGGGAAAGGTGGTTTAATGCATGGTGGTAAACTTTGTAATCTCTGGTGAAGGATGTCACTGTTCCTGACATCAAGCGAAGCATTTACTGAAACACTAGCAAAAGCCCCACAAAACGTCACAGCTGCACACAAGCCCTCACTGATCTCTAGCCAGGAAAGCAATAGCTGTCATTCTCAATGCAAGACAAATGTATCTCTCGGCTATTCTTAACTGGCCCTGTTGGGTTCAGGGTGGCTAAGCATAATGCAGCATACGTGTGCGAGTCAGGCATGTAGCCAGGATTTTTTTTTTTCAGGGGGTGGCCTAATTGTTCGAAAGAAAGTCTTTTCATGGCAAATAGAAAGTTGCCAGGGAATATAGAAGATGCGTAATTGTTAGAAGAAAATGAGAACAAAATGGAATGCAGCACAAGAGGTGAGTTAATCAGCGATGAAAAGCAAATTTATTTTGACAGTGCAGTAGAGCTAGTGCGTGTGCATAAGAATGCTTTCTTACCAAATAATGTCAACCAAGAAGGCCCATTCACTAATAGGAAAACATGTGACAAAAAAAGGGGGGGGAATCGCAAGGGAACCGGTCATCCACTTACGCATGTGCAGCAAAAAAAAAAAAATATCCGATGCTTTCTCGGCCGCACTTCTCAGACTCTGTCTTAACAACAGACCTGCGAGAAGAACGGGAGCCATTTTCCATTTTATGGCAGGAATTTTTGAACAAAGAACTAAAACACGGACGCTTCCCTGACGCAAAAAAGGCAGAATGTTAAAATTAATTATAGCAAGCAATTTTAAAGAATTGGCTTTACCATATAGTCAAGGCCAATGTAAAAGAAAAAAAAAATGTAGCCTAGCCGAAGAAAGCAGTTCATGCTACAATTTTCATGCATCGCGGTTTCTCCATAAACACAGCTATAACTTCGTCAACACTGACTTGTATACAGTGAATGGATACTACAGCCAGACCATCAAGCCGTTCCTCAGCCGTCCAGTTCCTCAAATTCGTTCTCACTATTTTCAATATCAAGAAGCTGCGTCTCCAGCGGTTGCCAATATCTTGAGGAGTGTGTAAATGTTCGAGAAGAGGGCTTTGTCGCATTCAGCTAAAGTGTTCGTCGCAAAGCGGGGAAATTACCCCTCTTGTATGGCTTTCCATTTATTTTTCCAGATTTCCCATTCACCTTTTAGTGTAGGAATAAGAGCTGTTGTCATATCGTAACAGAGCTGTTGTCATATCTACAATCGTAGTTTTCCCAGTATCTTTGTGTTCATTATTTGCAAGTTTAGCTAGTTGGAAGTCAGCGCTCTTTCTGTCTATCCTGTTCCTTTTTTCCTATGTTCGTGCGCTGAAAAAACTTGCAAATATGACTACGCACCGACTTGCCCAAGCTTACACTCTTGTGAGTTACACCTCTGTGTTCCTACCACCCGTGGAATCCCGCACTTCACTTTGAACTCCACTGCTCTGTCTTGACATAGAGAGAATATTTTGTGGCATTCTGCCCCGTGTTAGTTCCCATCTCTTCCAGCTTAGTCAGCACCGAGTCAACCTGCTCCAAGGCGAAGCCCATGTAAATATATGGGCTCTGCATATACACAGAAAAGTGGTGTTTGAGGCCTAGGAATGTCTCACTAACAGCGAGGCATATAAGAATTTTGGGTGAACAGATTCGCTGATTGAGGCTATGAGGGGTGGATGCTGTTTCTTTGTCATGGATGGTGTCAATGAACTCTTCAACTGAGGATGCTATCTCGGAAAGCGCTTCTCCAAAAATGCAACTGAGTCATGACGTTCCACCCACCTTGCTTCACAATATCGACGCAGCCAGTCCAACGACATTTTAGATGCTTCTATATGTTTTTTCACTGGACTGCTGGCCTTTTGGGTGACACCCAAAAGAAAGGGCACACTTAACTAATTGTGCCAAAGGCCCGATGAATGTCTTGGAACAGCTGAGGCATCACTGAAACAAAGGTTCAGGGAGTGCCATGAGCAATGCGTGTACAAAGCCATTGGGAGTCATTCTGGATAAGCACCTGCACCCTTGGAGGTCAATGACACTCTTCCCTCCTCTTTCACCCAATCGAACTCTCATCCTGGTCGCTGGGTCGTCGAGCCATCTGACTGGCGGGAGCTGCAGACACAGGATGCCGTAGGGTTGTCCGACGCTGGCTATATAAGCCTAAGACATTACTCGCTTCTTCTCTATCCTGATGAGATGTAAATACACCTCCGTCTGTCCTGCAAAAGTATGTTTCCTCACTAGAAAAGATGGGTCCGGTGACGAGGGCCAGCTACCAGTCGAGACAGGCCGGAGCCGGTCCTAACAAACTGGAGGCTGCAGTAGGATCCTTCTAAGGGCCATTCTATACGCTACCCGCACAGCCGCAACGCACGTTCCTGGACCCCTGCCGCACCCAAGCAGAGGGTGAAAGAGCATTACCGATTCGCTCATTTCCCCTTGCTTGGCTGCGGCTGGGCAGGGAACGCATGGAATGGCCCTAACCCCTGAGCCCCAACACACGAGAACTCGAGAAATCAAAGTGGAATCAGATTCGTCTGATTCACAAGACGAATCTGTGAGAAGGATGTGGCCCTTTTCCCGCAGCCTTCACTGTGCAATGCATACATAAATCATGCAGAAGCTTCTCTGGCTTCCTAGCCCGAACCCAAGGGCGTGGCGACGGAGGCATGGAGGGTCAGTCATTGAGGCATCAGTTAGTGAGGTCTGTTGCTCAAGGGATAACATGGTTCGCTCAACCAGAGGGCAGAGGAGACGTTTAATGATGTGGTGCGGTCAGTTGGACTGTTGAAACGTATCAATAGATGATGCCATGGGAGCAGTGACGAGTTTTGAAGAGGATCACCGAGGAGACATGTGATCACCTTATACTGCAAAGGAGAACAAATCGTCAGCGCTGCTGTTTAGGGGGAGTGAATCGTCAAGCTGGTGAATATGATAGGGGCTTCACGCAGACCAGCATAACAAGGCCCAGATATAAGGTGGAGCTCATAGTGAACATTCGATTTGATTTCATTACAAATGCAACGTCTAAACCACTGCTTGTTCTTTCTGAAGTCAACGACTGCCACATTGATGTTTCTGTAAATAATAAATACAGAACATTCAAGCAGAGTGCCCTTGCAGGGTGGTCGAACCAAACTCACACATGCTTAAACTGCAATAATTGTCTTCGTTTACCCGTGTCTACATGATTGAGTGCATCCAACGAGTGCTGATTTGGCAGAACGAAAGCTTGAGAACAAGAAGTGGTGCATCAACTCGCACAATGTTGGAGCGGCTCGTCTGTCCTAACGCACGGCGGCGATCCATTACTTCTGTTGCTCTTTCTCATAAGGCCTAGCATTACATGAGTAAAACTGTGTTGCGGGCAAGTTTTTGTAGGTTTTGAGCACCCCACCTCAGAACAATTATTAGACATCCCTAGAAGTTTCCATTACCACACATACGAGAAACGTTGCTACAGTGAACTCCCTTTAAGACGAACTCTGCTAAGATGAATTCTTGCTTAAGACAAACAACACGGGGGTGGTTGGTTTAGACACAATGCAAAAAAAATCTGCTTTAGACAAACCATGTAACAGGCTTCTTATGATAATCGAACTATCGCAACAACAAACAACGACGGAGACTCTGCGCAACACACAGTCTTGATTGGGGCATTCAGGCGAACAAGAGAAAGCAAAATAAAAAAAAAAAGAGCGAGAACTTTCTGGCCTAAAGACTCGAAGCATATCGAAAGCTAATTGCTTTCGATATGCCTTGAAAGGTCAGTGCATAAAGCTGGCATCTCCCTCATCCCTAGCCTGTAGATGGAGAAAGGGCTGGCTATATCAGCAAAGAAAGCAACAAAAAGTGTTCGTCCTTTCGTATTTTCCTCACATTCTTCAGTTCCCCAACAGAAGTCTATTTTTTAGACTTAAGTAAGGCTTTCGACAAAGTTTGTCACCAACTACTACTTTTCATTAGTAAGGCTTTTGACAAAGTCTGTCAACAACTACTACTTTTCAAATTGAGCCTACTAAACCTTGACAATAATTTACTGAAGTGGATTGAGTGTTTTTTTATCTAACAGCATTCAGTACGTTACTGCTAACAATCACAATTCGTCATCTGCTGCGGTCCATCGGGAGTACCGCAAGGAGTACCGCAAGGGTCAGTCCTTGGTCCGCTTTTCTTTCTTATTTATGTTAATGACCTCACGTCTTCTATTTCTTCTAACATTCATCTTTTTTGCAGATGATTGCGTCATTTTTCGTAAAATAACCTGTGATAACGACATTTCATTACTTCAATCTGATCTCAACATCGTAGCAGCCTAGTGCAGCACATGGCGAATGGACTTAAACATTGACGAATGTAACGTAATGCGCGTAACAAGATCACCCAACACCTCGCTAACATACTACATAAACAACGTCCCGCTCAATCCGGTCAACCCGTATAAATACTTGGGTGTTCTTATCACGACAAACCTATCTTGGGCACCTCACATCGAATACATTACTAACAATGCCAATCGCATGTTAGGCTATATACGTTGCAACTTTTCCATCAGCATTAAAATTGCTCTTACATAAAACATTGGTAAGATTCAAACTCGAATATGCCTCTTCTGTGTGAGATCCTTACCACGATCACTTCACTAGAACTTGTACAGAATAACTCCATCCGTTTCATACTGTCCAACTATAATCGCAATGCCAGTATAACTTCAATGAAATCCAACCTAGGCCTCCCTTCACTTGCATTCCGTCGGCAAATATCCCGCCTGGCCACTTTTCACAAAATATTCCATCATGCCGCCCTTCATGACCAACTAATCCTCAATCCTCAGTACATATCTCACCGTATCGACCATTGTTATAAGAGTGGCATTGCATTATGCAGCTTGCAGTGATTTTATCGATCATTCATACTTTGTACATCAGCAGATTGGAACCATCTACCCGAAGACGTAGTAACTATTACTAATAACCATCTTTTCCATCAAGGATTAACTAATTTTGTATAATTAAAAAGTGTACAAAGCACTATGTAATGTATTTTTATGTATTATTTTCATATTGTATTGAATTCATTGTATATACACAGCTAATATTGTATAATGAGTAGATTTTATTTGTTGAATAACTTATTTTTATGCTGTATTTTGTTCCTTGTAAACTTGTAACCACTCCCCTCTATAATGCCACATGGCCTTGAGGGTAAACAAAATGAAATGAAATGAAGAAGTAAAGTAGAGAACAGAAGGGCATAAGAGCTTCGCTAGAGGGGAAAATGCAAGGGAAAGGGGGGGAGGCAAAAAGAAGCCAAATGAAAGTGAAAACAATTTGTCTGTACATTATAATTACATGAAACGGAAACCACATATGCGGCATTAGCACCCCCATCAGAGGAGTCAGATGCATTGTTATCGTCGAGACACAATGGCATCTGAGCACATGTTGTGGTCAGTTTGCGTTGTTTTACACAGGGCCTGTGTACGTCATATCTGTTCCTAGTGAAATTCAGCAAATTGACATGTGCCATTTTCATTATGAAAGTGCACTATAAAGGAAGATCATTTTGCACACTAAATACAGCTACAGTATGTCTTTTTGTGTGCCCGAGGCTTGTAGGGGGGGGGGGAGGGCTGTACCCTCTTTTCTGACCAAGTGCCTGTTGCGAGTGCCATTTAATCCAGGACCCCACATGTGGTTTGGGGGAGCCGAGAAAATGCCAATTTTAATAAGAGCACACCTTGTTATATATCACACATATATTTTAAACGTGATCCGCCTGAAAACATGGCATAGTCTAAATAATGAAGCAAGGGACTGCAAGCACACTTTTTCTCTCAATGCAGCCAGCCTCTCGACAATGGGTGCTCACGGTCATTGAGTGAACTCTGGTGATTGGCTGCTTTACAACATGATTTGGTGAGTAAGCTGACGTTCATTGCAGTTTACACTGTCAGTAAAACTACTCCTCCCAAACTACATGCAGCAAAAATGATCTGAATCTGCATCAGTGACTTGCTATTCAGGTGAGACACTATAGGTTTTCCCAGTTAGCACGGCTTTTGCTGTTCCTTCCACCCAAAAACGTATCCACACTATTCTACTGCAATGGTGAGCCATATTCTGTCACCCCAGTTTTGTTTGCACAATTGCTCAAAGGTTCGTCCCACGACAAGTGTGCCCAAGCTAAACATTCAAGAACACTCAATTACATAGAACAAATCTGCAGATTAGTGGAGTCGGTAAATGAGAGCGAAAGTGCCTAGTTTTCCAAGAGGATGAAGCAAATAATCTAGTGCAGCTGGTCGATAGCAAAACAGTCAAAATTTTGGCCAGAATAACTAACATTTCAGCAAGTCCAGCTTGAAAGAAAAAGAGGATGCATGAAGCTGCATTTCTCTATTTTATATTCGAAGCTAATTATTTAAGAAAAGCTGATGTGTCGGTTTGATAACTATAGTTGCATCACCTGTTTACATGTCATTTGATGCAAGGATAGTTTACTCCGAAGTATAAAATTTTTTTAACAGGTTATTTACAGTGCCTGCCAAACATTTCGCAATGCTTCTTCTGTTTTTACACACCTCAACTTGCAGATGGTGGCAATCATTTCTTCGGTGAGAATAGCATGAGTGAGAATTTTCTTATGATTGGACCACACTCATTACAAGTGCTCTCCGCAGTTAAACAGTGAGACAAGATTAGTTGAATCCCCTCACATGGTTTGAATATTCAACCACGTTAAAGAGACACTGAAGTCAAATAAAAATTTACGTCAGAGTGAATGGTCAATGTATGATAACGCCTAAAACAACAATATTATCAACAGCAGTGCCCTACTTACCGAAAAATTAAGATAAATGCACAAGAACAAATGCCCCACAGTAGAACGTTCGCAAAATGATCCGAATGACAGACAAATTGCTTACAATTAATTAATCACTGAAATGAAAAACCTTCCGTGCATCAAAGGCACAATAAAATGCTTCTTGTTCGTTTCTGTTTGATGAAAAAAAAACCGCCGGACGTTATTATGGGGAATGGCATGAGTGGTTCAAAAATTCAATTTTCGCCTAGTTAAACTGGATAGGTCAAGCCATCTAGCAAGCCCAGTTGAACCAAGCACGCTTGCAGTCTTGAAGGTCAGGGCTACAAGTTGTTCAATGGCCGTTGTTGCTGCTTTGGCCCCCGCTACTTTCCCTCTACTACTATAGTGTCAGCAGCTGCGCATTAAAGCTGGGCAACGTTGTGCACGGCAACAGTGACGACAGACGTTCCATTGAGGCGTGTAATTGGAAGTGCGCTAACCCGATGCGGACCACTGAAATGAGATTTCATTTCACAATAAGCCCTTCCTTGGCACAAAAGTAACACTACGAGGTTTCTTGGTCGCTATTTCAACAATCAACGTCAACTAAATATATGCCTTAAGTGTTCCTTTAATAGAATGGGTCTTTGTAATGCGCTTGTTAATATTTTAACTAATCAATATACATACAAAACCTCTATGACAAGATACACTTACTTTTCCAGCACACAGCATGAAGCCACCAAGAATATGATTTGCTGCTTCTATAAGCCACTGGAGAACATCTGGCTGATTGGTTAGGCGCTGTGCAGAAAGAGGACATTCCAGTCAGCAGCTGCTTTATGACAAAAAATACGCACTACAATGAAAAGCTCGCTAAATGAAACCTTTGGAAGTGGCAAAAATTGTGGACAGTACCTGTAAATCTCTAAGCTCAGTTCCCAAATCACTTTGCAGCATTACAAATATATAATCAGATTCTGTATTCCAGATGCAACAGCAGATTAGCTGCCATGCTTAGAAAAATACAATTGCTTGATTGCAAATTTTTAAAACAGAAGAAAAGAACAATGTACACTGTAGCCATGGGCCATTGTTACCATGACATCCCACAATAGTTTTTATCTTGTGGTACCCAATGGCAAAATAACGTTTCCAGGGTGTTTTGAATCACCAAGCAGCAATAGAACATGAGCGCATTCCATTCGTAAAGGAACGTGGCTGCCAGAGTCAGGAGTTGAAACTGTGAGATGAAAGTCAGTTTGCCTCAAAGGTCTTGACACTAAATAATAATAACTGTTGGGATTTAACATACCAAAAGCATGATATGATTATGAGAGACACCTTCGTGGAGGGCTCCGGAAATTTTAACCACCCGGGGCTCTTTAATGTGCACCTAAATCTAAGCACACGGGCTTCAAGCATTCTCGCTTTGGCCTGGATTAGATCGCTCGACTTTGGGGTTAGTAGCTGAGAGCCTTAACCCCTTAGACAACCGTGGCGGGTCGGCCTTGAAGTTTCAATGTGGGCCATCAAATCATGTGAAACAAAATTGTGGGGCTTATCTCCACTATAAATAACAAGTAGTATGTAGAAGCATAGGGAGACAGCTGTGGATCAAATGTGAGAACATAATGAACTCCCTCGTGTGGGCCTCTGAAGGCTGCTCTATTGGGCTTATGCAGCACAAGCAGTGAACCACCAAAGTGTGCAGCACAAAACAAAAGCTGACTGCTACATATTAGGACAGCTATAATCAAGCGTTTGATAAACCATCGTCTGGCGAGGTAACAAATTGTGCAATAAACTTACACTCGCCAAGGTAAAAATGAAAGTAAACAGGCATTGACGTTTCGGGCCCCATACAGGTCCCTTGATCACAATGAAGATGCCAGCATGGGCATGCGGCTATTTATATAAAATAAATAGCCGCATGCCCATGCTGGCATCTTCATTGTGATCAAGGGACCCGTACGGGGCTTGAAACTTCATTGCCTATTTACTTTCATTTTTACCTTGGCGAGTGTAAGTTTATTGCACAAATATTAAAACAGCGGATTTCATAGAGGGCACCCAAAAGCAGGAGTCTGAAACTCGCCCTAGCAAGCGGCCCACAATGATGAAATTGTGTCCTGCAAAGGCAGGGACAGCAAAGAAGGTTGGAGTGGGTGGGGAGGGGGCTTCAGCAAAACGTCAGCGTATGATGCCCACTGAAAGAAGGCCTTTCTAATATCTCACATACGGGTCATTTATGACGGGGATATGGTGTAACATTTCGATACTAATATCCAATGACTGAAACCTATTGGGTGATTCACACATTTTGAAATTTTTGTGCCACGATTATTTTTCGACAAAGGGTGCCACATGTGGTGCCACACAAAAAGAATGCTTAAGGTTAAGACCAGTCATGTCTGTGTAGATAATGAACCCACTTATACAGTAAAACCTCGTTAATTCAAACTCAGTTATTTCTAAATTCCACTTAATTTGAAATATTTCCTCAGTCTCGTATTTCACAATGTAAGTTTGAGTGGATCATTTGAAAAGCCGGTCAGTACCAGTCCGGTTAATTCGAAAACTTTGGGTGTCATGCGTTGATTCCCGATGCCGATTTCACCGCTAATTTGTGGAAACGATGGCCCTTAAGAGCCACAAGGCAATGCAGCTTAGTGATACTAATGAGTAGAAGCTGCAGCTGAAGCAACACAGCCTCGCTGCTTCCAGTGCAGAAAAGAAAAAAAAAAGGAAAAGGTTCCATAATCGACTGAAATGTGCGCTTGGGAAAACAAGACGTGGTTCACAGCAACACGTTTGTGATGCACAGGCAGCATGTGGAATGCTTCTCGCAACGACAGTGCGTCATGATTTACCCATTCTTTCTTGGATCGTAAAGCAATTAATAAAGAACAGTTTGACAGTTTGGCAGAATATGCGATGTATGCAAACCTTCAACTGCCGGTTGCTCCAGCAATTCGCGCACTTGCACTGCTGGTGGAGTTCTTGCCTGCTACACCTACTTCGAAAACTAACTTCCAAAGTTTCAAGAATCATGTTTTCCAGCCAAAACACATCGCGAATTTGGTCACACTGGCCATTATTAAATTCTTTATTTTACTAGAAAGAATGAACGAATGGTCGCATCATGACGTGCTGACGTAGCAAGGAGCAGGCGAAATGTTGCCCGCATTTCATAATTGTGATGCAGTGAAGATGTCTTGTTTTCCACAGGTGCACATTTTAGTTGGTCATGACAGCGCTGTTTTTTTTTTTTGTTTTTGTTTTTTTTTTCAGTGGCAGCAGCGAGGCCTGCTGGTCCCCCGTGTTTGCGATAAAATTAAGACCAGAAATTGCTAGAAAGCATTTTATGGAGCCGCAAACTAGCCGGTACAGCAAACAACCAGCCCTGATGACTTCAAATAATTCCAAGATCCTTGCATCCCCCTTTTTGTATGTTCTGTTAATTCGAAAACCCGCTTAACTCAAAGATTTCTCGTGGCCCCGGGGACTTTGAATCAACAAGGTTTTACTGTACACTTGTATACAATGAAGACTGCCGTGTGCGGCCCACATGGGACATGTTTGATATCAGTGCCTGAAGGCATAATGTCGAATAGGTCTTTTGCTAGGAACTGCAGGAATTGATGCTAGGCAGCTGTTTAAATGTCACACTTGCAGTGAAATGATCTTAAAACAAATTGACCATATCGAGAAGGCTTCCTAATTGTTCTGATGGTTAGTGCAGGTATACATCAAGAGTGTTCGCAAACACCTTGGCAGAATGGTTGGAACAACACAAGTATAGATTTGCAAATGTTCTTTTTTTATCAGCATTGCATGCAGATCTCATGGCAGAAACTCAAGAACCTGATCATAACTTGGGGATTGAAGGCTAAAAGAATTTTGCAACTCAAGCTTTGGCTTAAAGGGGCCCTGAAACACTTTTTCAACTAAACATAAAATGAATTCATTGGAAGAGCTTATTGCCTCAAGAATTCAACACCACAAATTTTAAGAATCTGTCCAGTGCGAGTGGAGTTACAAAGATTTGTCGCATGCTGCAATTGCATTCTCTCTTCTCTCATCCCAAAGAAAACGCTGGAAGCTAAGCAGGAAGGGATGGCTGGGCGATGAAAATACGTTGGGTCACCTCGTGACCTTGAGCACTTTCTCTCTCTCTCTTTTTTCTTCGAATGTGTGGCTTCGTCAGTGTGATTGCACGCGCACGCGTGGACAAGTTGCGGCGATCTCTGTAACAAGCAAGCGCGCCATGTTCAAATCAGCCAATGGCTGATAGATGGGCTTTATAGGAGTGATTTTTGAGCATCTTCCATCATTTGTCGAGAGAAGAGAAAGCAATTTTTAGATGACTTTCACAATTTAATGTGAATTCCAGGTCGTGTGCTGCGCTATGATATTTGGCTCGCATGTTGTTGGGAGCCTTTACTACCGATCAGCAGCCTTTTCTGACCATGCTCAAAAAGTGTTGCAGGGCCCCTTTAAAGGGGCCCTTCAGCACTTTTCCAAGTGATCATCTAATGGCTTCATTAAAAAAACTTGCCGCCTAAGTAATCGCCTGCGAAAGGTTTTTTTAGAATCCATCGAGTATGATCAGAGTAACAGAGATTCGCCACATGCTTAGAGTGCTTTCTCTCTCCTCTCGTACTAGCGAATGCCCTGAAAGCTATGCAGGAAGGGGATTACAAGGGGTCAAGAAAATGCATTGCTTTGTCAGTGCGCGTCAGGACTTCGATTTAATTTTTTCGGTGAACTTATTTTTGGTATGACTGTGAAAGCGCCTGCAGATACGCGGCGGCATTTTGTGGTGGCCCCATTAGCTGTACAGCTAAAGTCCGCCAACGGCTGTGGACTTAAGGTGTGTCGTGCAGTAATTCAGCTATATGGGGTCGTTTGCATAGCGAAGAGCGAGCGATTTCTAGCAGACTTTGAGAATTGTAAATTACAGGCCACATGCAGAGTCATAATGTTTGGCGCACATGTCCTCGGATGCTTCGACTACCAATCGGCAGCACTTTCTGACGATGCTGAATAAGTGTTGCAGGGCACCTTTAAGACTTTAACACCGCAGATGACATTGTTGCGATAGAGAGGATCAGTTCTATTGACTGACAACGCAAATGAAATTGAGACAAAAGTGATGGTGAAGATGCTAACGTGTGTGCCCACCTATTGTCAGAGTACAAAAGCCACCAGGCTCTCTATGTTCTGCACTCAACTGTACGTGCCAGCAGCATCAGTAATTAAATTGTGGTTCCTGCCTTTCACGTAGCTTTTGTGAGTGAAATTAAAGGCAGAAAAGTGCAAAAGAAGGCCAATGACATTTTTAGCCAGATTGTACTTTGTCGTACCCAGTAAAGTTTGTGAAGTTTGTGTTAAATTTCAATCTCAGCTTAGCTTGTCTTGGCTCAAGCCGCCATCCATCAGGATCTCCATGCCGAAGAATGCCATATGATCTCAAAATAACTTGGTCAGGGTTGCAACAACCGAAAGCGAATTGAGCAATTTATGAGAGCAGCAAAATGTTACTTTTCGAGCACTACAATCCAAATTTGGAGCAGGTTACAGGAAAAAAACATTAATTTCTTCTTACGAAAGACCAAATTAGAAGCAATTTCGGAAACAAGGCTTAGATTTAAAAAATATATATGTACAAGCCATTAAACATTCCCTACATCGTGCAGAGTGAATATGAGCATTGCTATTTCAATAAAAGTAGTATTTTCTTTAATCACCCCACTCAGCAAACAATGAAGAGGTCCACGTTAGAATGCGCCACACCTCTC